TTGTGAAAATACTGTACAGAGGGGTTACAATTACATGGGCAAGATAATGAGTACATTTCTTATCAAGCATTGTAGCCTCCTTCTTTGTTTCCCCTTCCCATCCCCGACATTGATTCTTGAACTGACTTATCTAGAATGACTTACAGATGCTGGGAGAATCAATAGCTTTTTGATAAGCTTTGAATATGCTTGACAATGTAATTATTTACTGTGTAAATGAAGACAAGTGCTATAAATTAATTGCAGGAAAACATACATTATCTTGCATGTGTATTTTGTAATTTGTAGAAGTAATTTTTGATTTTTCACAATGTATCCAAGTAGCTAGACGTTTGAATAATACATTTGTCAATAATGGTATTTTTTTGCTCAGGAAATAATGGTAAACTCAACTCAAAATGAATTGTTTTAATTTATTCATATTTTTGGATCTGTGTTTCAAAATTCTAAGAACAAAAGAAAAGAAGGCTAATAAACTATGTCACAATTCCATCACTATTTCTGGTGGTAAATTATATGGCTACATTTTTTTCTTGTTACTTTCTAGTTTATAAAAGTATTCATTAACACTCAATTCAATCAAAATGTATTTTAATGAGGAGAAAAATAATATTCAAATAATTTCACAAAAATGATGATAACAATTACTAAAAGATATCAGCAAATTTCTTAAATAAAGTTTTAGATTGAAGTTGATTGTAATTAAAAGCATGAGAAGGCAGAAAGAAGATAAAATAATTCCCTCTTGCGGGGATCTTGTTAATAATTTCATATTCTTTACCTTCTGAGATATAATTAAAGTATATCCTCTAAGGACAAATGTGTACCACCAGGAGCTAACATACTAGAAAATTATCATTTTTGTGTTTTGTATCTCTGACAATGAAGCTCCTATTAAATCTACAGACTTGAAAAGGATATAGTTTTAAGTAGCTTTACCTATAGAAATAGTTGAATTGGTACCTTTATAAAAGTCTCTTGTAGGGGGTAACAAACCTATATTTTGTAGCAACTGTAGAAAGTACCTATTGAAAACAAGTTGGCAATCTAAAGTTTCAATTATAGCTTGCCCTAATGAACAAAATGAATAAAATAGGCAATAAAAAGAGTTTGTACCTGGTTGTCAGAGAGCCACAATGCTGCAAGTTCTTTAAGTTTTGTAAATGAGAATGGTAAATTCTTCAATCTGCAAACAATAAAATTCTAATAACATAGGTGAAGATGCTAAAGTTCATTTCTAAGAAGAATCATAAAATATGCTAATGTGTCTCCCTGAAAATTTAATATGAAATTTGATACATTCCCATCATCTCCAAATCTGGTAGCTCAGTGACAAGAAAATAATATTGGTATGACATGATGTATTCCTTATTTTCTGGTTTTTGTTTTTATTTTTCGCAATACTGGAGTTTGAACTCTGAACTTCACATTTGCTAGGCAAAGTACTGTATCACTTGAGTAGTCTCCAGCTTTTTGATTTTATTAATTTTTTTTCTCTCAAAAGGTCTCTTTTTTTATTTGCCCAGGCCAGCCTAGAATATGATCTTGTTGATGCTATATGCATAGCTCAGATCATGGCATGTATCACCACATGCGATGCGGGTTTTGCTAACATTTTTCCTGGCTACCTTCAAACTGTGATCCTCCTGATCACCATATCCTGAGTAGCTGAGATTACAGACATGAGCTATAATTCCTGGCTCACCCTGTACTTTTGATGTACAAGGCCTTGATACTTCCATGTCATCTTGGTTGATTTGTAAAACTCTAAACCTATTAATAAAATGTTTATTCTCTTGGGAGGGAATATTATTTAACTTATAAAAGGAAGGGTTTTAAAACCCATATTACTTGTTTTTTAAATAAATAACTACACTGCCATACTTATCCTGATGCTTCTATGAGTATTCTCTAGGATTTCATGATGGTTCATTGTGATAGTTTCCTTGCAAGGTCTCCGAGTTCCTCATACTATTACTTGTCTGACAAAAATTTACTGGAGAGAGAGTTCATGCATTCCATTTTGTAATCACTTTACCAAACTACTAGTTAATTCCAGTCAATATTTACTTTTATCCTTTCTTATTCAAGGATACTTATTTCATAGAGAATTAAAAACAAAAATGAATTTTAGACTTTCAGGTTTTCTGTATACCCATCCACAAATATAACACTTTTTATCACAAGAAGAGGATCTGTCTTTATCTGTTGATCCTTTTCTGAACATAGCTAATAGCTATTGGATTGCCTTTACTCTAATGTGCAAACATTAAGACTCTTGAGTAGACTTATTTGAGCATTAGCAGTAGTTTTACTAGCACTCTGGTGGAGTTGAAATATATGAATTTCCAGGTGACTTGTAGGTGTAAATATATATAAGGTTGGGCTGGGAGGAATGAGGGATTGGTGAAAGAAGTGACATTGATCACGATGCATTGTCCTTATGAACCAATTTATTGAATAGTAATCCCTTTATACTTCTACTTACAGATAATACAAATAAAATTAAAATCTATTTGGGGCACCGTTAGGGTTTTAATCCAGGGCTTTTTGGTTGTCAAGTAGATGCTCTTCCAACTGAGTATGCCTTCAACCATTTTGCTTTGATTATTTTTGAGATAGGATCTTGTTTTGTGTCTGGGCCAGCCTATACTTCCTGCATAGCTGTGATGAGCTGAAATATCATTAACATTTTTGCCTGGCCTGGCCTGGAACTGTGATCTTCCTGATTGTAGCCTCTCCCATTGCTGGAATGGCAGGGGTATACCATTATGTCTAGCTATGCACATATTTTTATTAATATATTTTATAGCTTTTATTTCAACTATGTTTTTATGATATGTTACTATGCATTGAGCATATAGAAGGCTTTCTGTATACATGTGGGCACCAAGGCTTTATAAAATTGCAATATAAAATTGCAAGGATTTTACTATAGCAAAATAAAAAAGATTTAGAAATCCTTGGTTTAAAGATAATTCAGCCTCTGCCATTGTCTACCTAACGCTGTGTACTTGGAATTCTTCACAAGATTCAGAAAACATCTGTAGAATTACAGACAAACAGCTACAATTTGATTTTTACTAAATAATACACAATTGTTAAATGTTGCTAGAATACCTGTTGTCGCTCAGATTTAATACTCTCAGTTTCTGCATCTGTCCAATTTCTTCAGGAAGAAATTCCAGCTTATTGGAGCGCAGAGACATAACTGTTACATTTTTGCAGCTTCCAATCTTTGGGCAATAAAGGAAAATAAGGAATCACAATGCACAGCTATTTCACATTCCGTTTCCTAATTTATGGAACAATTTAACTCATGACTTCTTTTTCATTCTTTTATGCTTTCAGTATGTCTATTGCCTTCAGTTTTTATTTTTGGTTTTTAAAAAGGAGTATATGGTTCTTAAAAAACATAAGAAAGAAAAGTTATTATTAAAATACTTTCATTTTTATTTTACTTACTTTTTAAATAAATCAATTACTTTTAAAATCAAAGTACTAATACATCTATATTTTCATACCAGCAGAGCATATATATTCAAAAATGAAATACTGTTGGCAGTTCTTTGGCAAAGCTAATTCTACTCACATTACAATGGTATTTGTCATGTTTAATCACAACTTATTGCTCTAAAATAGTGATATATTGATATATTGATTATTGTGCCACCTGTATGGAAACATTTAGTGAGAAGAATTAAGTTACAAGTGTACTTCATTCTTTTTATTGTCACTAACAAACAAAATCCGAGGTGGAAATAAAAACAATCTTTTGGTAGCTCTGGAAATTAAAGTAATGTAACAGCAACAGCAATTTGAGAAATGTATTTATGGTGAAAAAAATCTTTAAAGTATAATTATGCAAAATATTATTTATAATTTCTTATAAGCAAACATGTAAGTTAAATGTATTAAAATTATGTGCCTTGATATTGACTAACATAAAATAATTATTTTATCTTTTGCTGCATGCAAGATTTAAGTCAAAGCCAGGTGCATTTTCTAGGCTATATATATAATTATATATATAATTATGTAAATTAATTCCTATCTTTTTAAAGCTGAATTCATGAACCACAATGTTATCATATCTATTAAGATTGTATTTCAGAACAGATACATTAAAAGTTTATGATAGAAAACAAATATGTTCTTCACCTCTCTGGGTAATTCTGGAAGGAAATTCTCATCAACTGCTAATGTTCGAAGACTATGAAGGTAGCCAATAGTTGAAGGTATCGACTCCAGCTCATTACAGCTACAGTCAAATTCTTCTAATAAAGACAAACTGAAATATAAAACACATTAGTTAGACTTTCTAAAATGTTAAATGACAAACAAAAAACAAACTTTAGGAAAAAGTCACAGATCCAAATTTACCAAAGTGTATACAGTTGTTACATCACTTTTGTAATTGTCAACTGGCTCAATATCATCAAATACATAATTTCATTTGGTTATTTGAATATGCTGAATTTTTTTCTAAGTTCAACTGACTCTTAAAAATGACAGAATGGTGTGTGGCCTTTTATTTATAACTCAGGTGTTATTTAAGCTAGATTTTCAGCATTTGTATTCTTGGAATGAAGACCTGTAACTGGAATTGAGTAAGCAAAAGATGTGGGTGGCAGGCCCAAGGAAGACAGGATAAGAAAGAAAAAAATATAACAGCCGTCAAAAAATTGCTGCATATTTTACTGAATGCTTTATTACCTTTCCTTTAAGCAACTGTATTAGCTATCTGCTTTTAAAAAACCTATTTTACAGATAAGAAAGAGGAGACTTAAAGAGGAGAATTAACCTTCTCTAAGCCTCACAAAAGCAAATTGGGTCCTGAAGTGACAATGGGTCTAGCATGTTGCCTTGCCTCTTTAGCTTACACATCTTCAGTAGACACAAGGAACCTTTCAGCCTCAAGATGTGTTTTGTATGCTTTGACAGGTTTATACAGCGCAGTGAAATTTATATGATGAGCCGCATTTCGGTGCCTCTTTCCACCATGGCAATCTTGGGCCTCTATTCTTCCCAGAGAAGTACTGGAAACAGAGTGGTAACTGCTGCCTTCAAACAGGTACAGGTTTTTAAGTTTGTCTCCAGTTTGTAACCATCCTTACCTCTCTATACTTACCCATTTTAACCCAGGCTACAGAAACTAATGTGGAAATAGTCCCTGTAATTGTCACAAGGAAACAAAACACTTCAAGGCCTGTGAGGTAGCAGACAAGCAAAGATTGCCTGGCATGGAGTATGTTTAAGTTGCTGTTGGTGTTAATGTTATTGTTGTCACCATTCATACTATTATTATTACTGTTGTTCTATTCATGAGAATTCTGGTATTTGTTTGTTTTTTTCCTTAGCAGTTTTTTTTAATTGTGAAAATACTGTACAGAGGGGTTACAATTACAAGAGTAAAGTAATGAGTACATTGCTTATCAAGCTTGTTGCCTCCTCCTTTGTTTCCCTTTCCCTTCCCTTCTCCCCTCCCCCTTACTCCCCCTTGCCCCCCGCCCCCACTAAAGTTGTAAAGTTCGTTTTTCCTTTTTTTAATTTTTTTATTGTGAGAATACCGTACAGAGGCATTACAATTACATGGGCAAGATAATGAGTACATTTCTTTGGTTTTTTTTGGGGGGGAGTCTGTTGGTGGGGCCTGAACACTGGGCCTGGGCACTGTCCCTCAGCAATTCAGCTCGAGGCTAGCACTCTACCACTTGAGCCACAGTGCCACTTCCGGCTTTATTCCTTTTGCTTATGTGGTGCTGAGGAATGGAACCCAGGACCTCATGCATGCAAGGCAAGTGCTCCACCACTGAGCCATCTTCCCAGACCCATAATGAGTACATTTCTTATGAAGCATTGTTGCCTCCTCTTTGTTTCCCCTTCCCATCCCTCCCATATTCTCCCCTCCCCCACCCGATTCCCTCCCCACCCCCCACCAAAGTTGTAAAGTTCATTTTTTTTCAACATAACATCTTGTACATCTCATTGTTGCAATGAATCCACCTGTATTCCTATTTAAACAATTTGTTTTTTCTCTTCCCCTCCACAAATTATACCAACATCAAATACAATAAAAACAGGGGTTATACCATGGGGGAGGGACATACAAAGCAACAAAGAAATCATCTTATAAATATGTTAGAAACAATAGCAAGCAAGAAAAACCATTTGAGTCCTTATCTTGGGGTTCATTTTACCTAACATCAACTTATCTGATTGTAAATCAAGTACAGTGACAACAAGGGATAAACCATCGGAAAAAAAACACAGAAGAAAAAAATCACATAGTACATTAAAAAAAGCAACAACAAAGAAAAACCTCCTGTGTCCGTCTTGGAATTCATTTCGCTTAGCATCATCTTATATGGTCATATATACATAGCTATTGAGCTATTCTGCACATTTGCTAGGACTATCCTAGACATATACTATTTATTACAAATGAAGGAAAACATGAGATCTATGTTTCTTTGGGTCTGGCTTACTTCACTTAATATGATTTTTTTCCAGGTCTTTCCATTTCCTTACAAATGGGGTGATGCTATTTGTAATGGGAAAAATAAATGAAAATTAATTGGATTAAGATTGTAGACAAAGCTTCATATATATATTTGTATATAAATCTATGCATATCTATGTCTGTCTATCTATCTATCAATCAAGTGGATAGTTTGATGTTATTTGTCCTCATCATTTAAGTTAACAGGTGAATACCGAAAACAAATACATAAGTTGAAATCAATCAGAATGGATTTCTGTGCTAATTCTGTCATTTAGTTGATGCATGATCTTGGATATCAAATAAAATGACAACCACTGAAATGAAAAACAGAGGTGATTTTATTTACCTGCCAGGTTTGCTAATAAGGAAATATCAGTGACCAAAGTGGAGGTAGGAGAATGATTACAGTAGGTCATGATGATTAGGTTCTTGAAGGATCAAAAACTTACATTAAGGGAAAGGTGGAATGGCTTTACAAGTTTGAGTATAGTTAGATAAATCTCATTGTCCCAGGGCCAGGAAAAGATGTACTTGCACTCAGGTGTAGTCTGACTCAGGTCAGGGTCACTCAAGGTTCATGAATCTTAACAGGCTCAGTTGGTTAGAACTAGTAGTGGGGAAACACAGAATTTAGGTATGAATAATACTCCCTAGGTTAACGCTGATCAAGGGAACACATTTCCTTTTGACATAGACAAGTCATAGAACCTCTCTAAGCCGCAGTTACTTTTTAAACATTTGCAATGAAGATAGAAATAATCTCTGCTACGTGGCAGTTGCTTTGAATATTTTATGATACCCTAAATATAAAACAGAGTAGTACCTGTCATAAAACACATGCTCAGTATTTTTTCTCTTGTTCTTTTTAGATATAATTAAAATTGCTTTTAAATGCTTTGAGACCTTCATGCACAGGAGTGGCTATGTTTTTGAGGGCTAGGTAGACATGGTTGTTGTATTCAATGTATGTGTGTGATAGGAATTGGTAGAAAGATCAGTTATTTTTTAACTTAGCAAAGCCTACCACTTTGTCTTATATGTACAATATTCTTAATACACTTCAGAGTATGGCATAAAAGAGAGTTCTTCCAATAGACTGGGATCATGTTCTCAGCAAATGTTCATAAAAGTACCAAGTTGTTTTTTTTTTTTTTTGGGTCTGGTCATGGGGCCTGAACTCTGGGCCTGGGCACTGTCCTTCAGCTCTTCAGCTCAAGGCTATCGCTCTACCACTTGAGCCACAGCGCCACTTCCGGCTTTTTTCTTTTTACTTATGTGGTGCTGAGGAATCGAACCCAGGGCCTCAAGCATGCAAGGCAAGCGCTCTACCACTGAGCCACCTTCCCAGCCCCCCAAGTTGTTTATTTTTAAATGTAAAAAAATTCAGGTGTTTATTCAGAGGTTGAGATCAGGGGAGTTATTTAAATTATTTTAAAAAATTAAGCAAATGTTCTCATTTTTCCTTTCATTTATACAAACATGTTTTGAAGTTAGTCTTGAGGCACAGCCCCTCATTTTGTGCAGTCTTACTATCCACGGATTTCAGTTATCATTTCATTAAGTAACACTAGTTTTGTAAAAGCACGATTTACATTTCAGGCACTAGGTGTTTTAACTGTGAGGAACTGCATAAAGAATCAGAGTTTCTCTGATGCACAAATCACAATGTGAATAAGACATTTCACAGCACGATCAATGACCAGTTACATCACCCTGTCAGTGATGGGTCATACACATCTGTTATTAAGTTCACCATAGACAACAAATCATGTAGCTGCATTCCTTCTTTGCCTGCCAGCAGTAAACTGATACCACAGGCAAAATAATTTAACTGTTAAGACACCACTGACTCCTGGATAATGCTATGGATCACTATAATTCTCTTGGAGATTTAAGTAAAATTTGTTCTTTATCACCAAAGATAACTTCATTAATCCAGCCAATGGACTCTATAGAGTTATTTCAGTTGTTAAAGCCTATTACCTTACACACAGATTGAGGAATCTCTTCCTGCCACAATGGATTGGCATGTAATTTCATTGTCTTGGTTCTGGATGAAATGTGGTAAGAAACATAAAAGCCCTGAAAATATTCAAGCCTGATGTCAGGAAGTACCATCAAGTAATATGCGTGCAGTATAGCAGAAACATCTAGCATACTGTGCAAATAACTTTGCTAGATTTGAATCTGACATAAATAGAATTATAGAAGAAATAGTGAACCATAGAAACTTTACTATTATAGAACCCCAGATAAAGCTGCCAAAGCACTTAGTGAAGGCCAACTTATCCCCATAAATGAGGGTGTGACACTGACAATAAATTCCAGGCTAAAAGGAATCTCATGATGCTGAAAGCACAAATGATAGCATTCTGGCAGTAGATCCAGAGATTAAAAGGAGTTTGATAATTCATCAATGCATTGACATGGTATTCACTAGATTAGATAGCTTATATAAATTTGTGAGGCAAGCAGGCACTGTTCAAACTAATTCTTAAAAGTTTTTCCAAAACCACACCATACCAAAGCAACTTTAATTCTCAATGTTCCTGATGTTTAAAAGTACAGTGTGCTACATAAACATTAGTTTTACTATGTTTCCATTTTCATATGCATTTATAACTTACAGTAAAAGCATTTAACATGAAGATAAGGGACTTTCTTGAAAAAAAAGTGTTGTAAAAATCTTATTTCCCCCAACTGTTAAGACCTTTTTCACAGTTTCAAACTGCTGAGTTTTTTATGATCCCTGTGATGCTGCGATTTATAGTAAGAAATAAGTAATT